CACTACGTTGGTCTGGGTGAAAAAGATCAGGAAGCACTATTGGTTCCCCAGGTGTCTGGGGCCCCAAGACTAGGAATGGCGCAGGGCCCAAACTAGGGGTATAGAATGGCTGGGGGGATGGAGGGTGAATGTGGCTTAGGGAGTCCCGGTGCGGAGGGCTGAGCTATAGACTTACCCCAAGAGGCCTGAGGATAGTAGTGCAGGCTAGGAGAGTTAGCCGGTGGTGCAGGCCCAGGGAAGCAGAGAGAGGTGAGCGGTGCTTCTTTTTTAACCCCTGATTTTGATAGCTCTGAAATTGCAGCATTTTACCAACAATGACTGTTATGGTTTAATTGGAAGTTCTCTCCCTTTTTTTTTCATGGTATAAAATAATAGTGTCTTGCAAATAGAGTCTGTCTGAGAACTGATAAAACAGCCAGGAACCATTTTGCTAGTATCCTATCTATAGACTAGAGCTCTGAGCTCATGGGACAGGCAGAGAAGAACAAAGCTGGTGTTTGAGTTAAAGCACAGCCGGGGAATGGGAATGGAAGAGAAGGGCCTATGTTGATGATATGTGGACTAGAAGGACACCTGGCCCCAGCACTGTGCCTGGTGGAGGGCAGATGTTCCTCCAGTGCTTACTCAGGTTTTAGTAGAATCACCAGCCAAGGAGCCAGGGTACTTTAGAAAGCTGGGCAATGCCAGATCTGGACATCAGTTCCTGGATGATGTAGTTGGACCGCACACTTCACAGCTCTTTGGCCTTTGTTCCTTTGGAGACTGCAGAAGAAAGCCAGTCTTTTCATAATCTGTAGCATCTTCTACCCTTAATAGCCTTTATTGGAAGTAACTTAAGCTCTTTTTGTGTTCTGTGATCTGCTTGTGCTAGAGCCTGAAGGAGAGAAAAGAGAATTATTTTTCTTCAGATAGTCCCAGAAGAAACAAAAAAGGCTCAAAGGTAATGATGGCACTGATTTAGAGGACTGAGGGGTTAGGAAGGGAGCAAGGGGCAGCAGGGACTGATAGACAAGACCTTAATTCTGTCACAGCCAAAAGATGGGAGATGGGTGGCCAAGGGACAATGGAATAGCATTAAAGGGAGTGGAGATTGGCAAGGCATTAAAAAGCAGGCTCTAGAGATGATAGACCTGGGCTGCTTTATTCTTTGATGAATCTCCATCACCAAGATAGTCCCCTGGTGCACAGAGAACACTCAATAAATGCCTGTTGTTGCAGTATCACCTCCCCTGCACATTCCCATCAAAATGGCTGCTCTTGGACACACATTCCCCTTCTATACTGACCCTAAGCCAACATTCCCAATGGACACCGCCTTGGCTGTTATAATCACCATCTTCCTGACTGCACTGGTCACCTTTTTCATCATCCTGCCTGGCATTCGGGGTAAGACGGTAAGAAACAAACACAGCCCTAAAGACCCCAACCACAGATAGACTTCAGCCTCAGAACAAGGGGTCCAGACTCTGTTTGCATCTAGACTCAGAGAAGAGCCTCCAGTGATGAGAAAGTCTCATCACCCCTCACACAGAGCTCCCTAGTCATTGAACCAATAGACCGAGCACCAATTATGTGCTAGACACAGACACTCAATTGACCAAGAAGCCTCAGCTGTAGAACCCCTGCCCCTCCCAAACAGTGGAAAGAGAAAGGGTGGACTTGGAAGGAGGGCTCGGCTTACTAAATCCACCCACCCTGTGACTCAGAGGCTGTTCTGGCTGCTGCGGGTGGTGACCAGCTTATTCATCGGGGCTGTGATCCTAGGTGAGTGCCAAGTGTAGCTGACTTGGGCAGCTGCCTCTGTCCCATGAAGTTCCCTTAGTGGCCTGCCTCTCTTCTCCTAGCTTCCCCACGGGGGCCACTGATTCAGGGTGGCTTCTAGACCTGTCCCTCACACTGCTCTCACCATGGCCTTATCCCCTTATTCTTACCCTTACCCTGAGACGTGTGGACCAGGGAAACCCTCCTGGATGCATGCCTTCAACCTTTCTAACATTTTTATTTGGGTCATAATGAATGGAGGCAGAAGGCCTCTGGGTACAGGAGTGGAGAAAATGGAGGCAGGCTGCTTGTGTGGCCCTGGAGAAGGGGTTGCCAGACCCCGTACTCTACCTGGCTTCAGTGATTTGGCAAGTAGGAAAAATAGATCATTTTTATTGAAGCTATCTGTATTTTCCCATTATGGTTTATGTTAATGTTTCCTCACCCAGATGCCTGAGTGCTTGTCACTGAATGGGGCAGGGATGGGTAAGCAGACCGTGAGCAAGGAAAATGTTTGATTCTGACCTATTTATTCATCCTACACCAATGGTTGGCAGACTTAGCATGACCCAGACCTGAGCTAGTGAACAAGTGTTCAATTATGGCGAGTTCAGACATGGAGCTCTTATAGCTCTCTTTCTGGCTAACCCAGTAATACCCAGACCTCCCTGAGTTCCAACTCCCCAATCCCAGCTGTGAATTTCAGTTCTGAGTGGTCTGTGGGCCAAGTCAGCACGAACACAACCTACAAAGCCTTCAGTCCTGAGTGGGTCAGCGTGGACGTGGGACTGCAGATTGGTCTTGGAGGAGTCAACATCACACTCACAGGTGAGGGCTCTGCTCTGTATCTTTGAGATGTGTATCACTCACAGGTGAGGGCTCTGCTCTGTATCTTTGAGATGTGTTTTGGTATAGTGCATAGAACTCCAGCATGCCTGACACTGCAGCTAGGAGGATGTGTGGGTGTTGAGAGGATGATGGAAAGAAAATTTCAAAGCTGTCTTCTGTCAGTTGTCAGTTCTTGACCTTCCACCAAGTGTGAGTGAGGCCCTGCCCAGGTGAGTGCCCCAATGTAGTCGTTAGGTTTCTGCTAAGCACAGCTGCCCTTTCCTCAGGGACCCCAGTGCAGCAGCTGAATGAAACCATTAACTACAATGAGGAGTTCAAATGGCACCTGGGTGAGGACTACGCAGAGGAGTATGCAAAGGCCCTGGAGAAGGGGTTGCCAGACCCCGTACTCTACCTGGCTGAAAAGTTCACCCCACGAAGCCCATGTGGCCTGTACAACCAGTACCGCTTGGCAGGTCACTATGCTTCAGCCATGCTGTGGTGAGCATGGGGATGAGACAGATCCTTTTGGTCTAGGTTCAGGAACAGATTTTCTACCCATCTCTCCTTCACCCATGTGGATATCCAGAGTGGGATGGGGTGGCATCAATCACCATGGTGTTTGGTTGGGAAGTCCATGGGCAGGAATGCTCCCTTCACATATTTCAGCCATCCTTGGCTGCCTTCACCTCTACCTGGGCCCCTCCAGCCTCTCCAGCAGGTAGAGGTGCCTGGTCCAGTCCTCACTGGGTCTTGGCTTTCCAGGGTGGCCTTCCTTTGCTGGTTGCTGACCAATGTGATGCTGTCCATGCCAGTGCTGGTTTATGGTGGCCACATGCTGCTGGCCACTGGCATCTTCCAGCTTTTGGCACTATTCTTCTTCTCCATGGCCACATCGCTAACCACACCCTGTCCCGTGCGCTTTGGCACTGCGGTGCTGCGTACTCACCATGGGCCTGCATTCTGGATCACATTGACCACAGGTGAGACTCTTCCTTAAAGATAAGGACTCAGGATGGGGGTCAGGGACCAATCATGTTGATGGGGCTGAGGATCTGCTTCTAGGAGTTGAGATGTCCTTGCCTTTCTTAGAGCCCCATCCTTCATCTCCTGGCTTTCTCCAGTGCCACTTTCTTTCCTGATAATATGCTCACATCCCTTTATCTTCTCTTCTCTGGAATGTCCCTCATTCACTGACTCCCTATACCCATCTCCTTTCTAAAATTTACCGCTGTATATCCCCCCACTTCCCCTAAACACACTTTTTTTTATTCCTAAGACTCTTGTATGCCCCTTCCTCACACAGCCATAAACAATCCATCTCACAGTTTTATTCTACCCCATTCTTTCTACACTCTCATGCTTCTCTGTGCCTCTTCCTTTTGTCCCTGTCTGTCCCTATGTTCCATCTCTCTGTCTTCTTCTCACTCTTTCCCTCTCTCCTTGTCTCTCAGCTTGGAATCTGAAAACTCAGGAGAACAGATCCATACCAGCCATATGACCACAGGTCATCCAGTCACCTCTTTGTGCTCCAGTTGTCCTGAGTCAGGGACCCAGGCCTCCCTTAGAATTGTTCTGATGTTCCTAGATGTCCTTAGGAGGGTATTGCTAGCATTAAGACGAGATACCTGTCACCTCCATCCCCAGGACTGCTTTGTATGCTGCTGGGCCTCGTCATGGCAGTGGCCCACAGGATGCAGCCTCACAGGGTAAAGACGTTCTTCAATCAGAGTGCAGAGGACCCTGTACTGGAGTGGAGTCCTGAAGAAGGGGGGCTCCTGAGCCCCCGCTATCGATCCATGGCTGAGAGTCTTGAGCCCCAGGACATTCCCCTGTCAGTAGCTTCCTATGATGCATGTTTTAAGGAGGAGCACTCCAAAGAGTTGGACTGTGCCCTCTAACATTCCTCTCCTGGTGGTCACCTGAATTTCAGTCTGTTTCAGACTTCACTGAAGCCCCTGGAAAACCACTAGAACTACCCACAAGGTGGGTTTGTGTTGTATTAGATCCCAACTCCAATCTGTAGGTGTAACAGAAAAATGAGACTCTACTTATTGAAGTCAAATAATGAACAAAAGTCCTAAGGTGCTGAAAAGATGTTGGATGTGTCCATAAACTTTGTTGCCATGGTAAGATCAAGCAGAGGTGGCCCTTATTTCTGTATTGCAGCTACCTTCCTGGATGTTTTGCCTCTTCAAGGTGTTAATCTCCCTCTCTTAACAAATGTGGGATGTGGAAAGTGGGCTGCAGTGTGATTTTCCTGTGACCCCCTCAGTGCCTCTCACTTGTTTTTTTGCAGGGCCTCTGGGCCCCTTCCTTTTCTTTTTTTGTTTCTCAGCTTGTGTGACCTCTGGGCCTGCCTTGGAAGGAGACCAACATCTCATCCCATGTCTAACATTAACCAGCTGTGTCATATTCTCTTTGTGCTCCAGTCCCCAAATAATGCTATCTAAGATTGCAGGACTTGCCAAGAACCTTAAAAAATAAAATCCCAGGGTTTATATTTTTATGCCTTGCTGACCTGTCCCTTAGCTCTCAGATACCACCTTAAATGAAGACAAGAGGGAAGCGTTAGTGAGTCAGTGCCAGAATCCTCTTCCTCCCCAGTACATTCAGTTGGGCAAGCAGGGGGAGATCTGGGCAGAAGATGACCTAACTGGTCCCAAACCTGCCACACCACGTGTGGTGGCTCTGGAAGACGCTAGCGCCTGTCGGTCCCCCCGGACCTCACTAGAGGGCACCCCTCTCCCGAAGTCTTTCTGTGTTACTCAGGTTTAGCGCTTCAGGCTGGGTTTCTCAGCACCCGGAAAAACTTAGTACTAGGCTATCCCTAGGCTAGGGAAGCCTCTCAGGCTTGTGTGTCTCCAAGAGCCGAGAGAAACCTTGGAAATTAATGGGTGGAGGAGTTTTGAAAAACAAAAGAAAAAGAAGTTTATTTACAGTTCTCCCGAGAGACTTGTTCCCTAGTGCAAGCTGGCAGTCCGAGGCGCCCATTTGTTCCGCGCGGACCTGCAACCCCTGTTCCCAGAAATGTTCTCCGTGCGCGCCAGACAGGCACTGCCTCCGGGTCTGCGAGATCCCCGGGAGAGGTAGAAGTCCGGAGATGGATTCCCGTCACAACTTAGTGGTGATACTTAAGTCTGGGGCCCCAAACTGCTTGTGCAGCGGGTTGTTGAGGATGAAGGGCGAGTTCCCGGTCCCCTGACTGCTGTAGTCCTTGATGCTCTGATCCAGAAAGGACCGTAGAGCGCTGGGCCGGGTGTAGTGGAGCGTCACCACCGCCCCTCCCAGGAGGAGGCTCAGGATGCCTACACAAGGCGGGAGGGCGGGAAGAAGCGCAGTTAGGGATCCAGGCGCTCCCGCCACTTTCTGGAGCCCATCCCCTGGAGCCTCCTACACACACAACCCCCAGGAAGACTTCTGATGTGGATTACACCATGAACCAGTTCTCATGATAACTGGAGCAAGGTACTGAATCCTTCCAAACTCTTTGCAATGGTAAGAGGGGCGTAACAGGGCCTGTCCTCGCTCTGCGAGCTACCCCGCAAGTCAACTAACACGTGGGAACTCATTTTGTAGACTGGAAACCGCACGTATACATATGTCCCCCATACATCCAAATCGCCCATATACACCCGGTCCCCACCCCAGCCACCCGGTGAGCATCTCTTGGTACTGACCGGTGGCCAGAGTGACCCAAAAGGAGGGGCCGTAGTGAGGCGTGAGCGCTGCGGAACCCAGTCGGAACTGGCAGAGCGGCACGCTGGAAACCGAGGCAAAGGCAAAGACAGCGAAGAGCGTGAAGGCGCTGGTGATCAGGAGCGCCAGGCCTCCGTAGAGCGGGGCGGGCATGGAGAGCAGCGCGTTGGAAATGATCCAGAAGCAAAACGCCACCCTGCGGGGCACCGAGGAGCCGGCGCTGAGCTGGGTTCTCTTCCCGGCACGCCAGGGTTCCCCAGTCGGGCTTGGGGAGGTGCAATGGAATCTCCGGGGAGAGCGGGCTCCTGAGCTCCGCTGTGGCTGGGACCCAGGATTCCCACTACTTATTGCAGCTCTGAAACCACTAACTCTAACACCAACCGCAACTGCGCCGGGCTGCCGCCCAGCTCGGAGGCCCCCATTCTCCCGCTCACACGCACCCTGCCCCATCACACAAACACACACACACACACACACTTTAGCTCCAGCGCTCACCACAGCGTTGCCGCGGCATAGTGGCCAGCCAGGTGGTACTGGTGGTACAGCCCGCAAGGGCTACTGGGTGTGAATTTCTCCGCCAGGTACAGCACCGGGTCCGGCAGCCCCTTCTCCAGTGCGGCCACGTACTCCTTGGTGTAGTCTTCATCCAGACGCCAGGTGAAGCGCTCATTGTAGTCAATGGTCTCATTCAGCTGCTGCACTGGTGTCCCTGCGGGGAGCGGTGGGGTCAAGGGACTGTGCAAGACCAGGGACCAGGAAACTAAACAGATTCAGAGATGGATCTAAGGGTGGGGTGAGGGGAGGGGTAGAGGTGGGTTGGGAGACGGTTGGGGAAAACACACATCCGTGGAAACCAAAACTTTTCTGAGAAGGATGTGAAAGGCCTCTAGGTACCCCTTCTCCCAACCATGGGATCTCTCAGCCCCAAGAGTCCACTTTGCCCCTCACCTCTGAGTGTGATGTTAATGCCCACCAGTCCCACGTGTAGACCGACATGGGCTTGAACACGCGCTGTACTGAAGGCTTTGTAGGAGGTGTTGGTCCACACTCCACCCACAAACCAATCTCCACTGAAGTGCACAGCTATGGGGAGATGCACACAGTAGAGTGTGGGTGAAGGTAGGAACTGCAAGAGGGACCAGCCAGTCCTGGGGCCCAATGTAATTGCACGCTAAAACCAAGCAAGTAGCTGAGGCAGGAGAATGTCTGGGCAAGTAAGCACCCTCCAGGCCAGCCTGGGCTATAAAGTGAGACTTTGTCTCAAAACAGGCAACCCACAGCTAAAGAGTTGACACTAGAAATAGGTACAAAGTGGAGAGAAGGGGAAGGAAACAAAGCTCCTTCTCATTTCCCAGGGACAGAGTGCCAGAAGCTGCTCCTTCCCTACCCCAGACCCCCCCCCCCCCCAGTTGCACGGTACACTCACCCACAATTTCTGCACCTATGAATAGACTGAGAAGAACTCTCACCAACCAGAACCAGCGCTGCAGGAACAGATAGAAGACACTCAGGTCAGGCTTGGGCATTGCCCAACCAGTCCCCAAGACCTCCTGTGACCCCCACTCCACCTCAGTTTTAGCTACATTCCTAACTGTTTATGAGTTATGTCAGTCATGCTTTTGCTTCAAATCCCTCTGAGCCACTGGCATTTCAAATACATGGCTTCAAGACCATTTCCACAGCCCTATTTCCAGATCTAGTTTGCCTGACATTCTCTGACCACCTTTACATCCCCAGCTGTCTGCACCTGTTCCTCACCCTGCCTCCTAGTTCAATCGCTGCTTGATGAGGCTCAGTGAGTCCACAAGGACCAGACAGATAGGGATCACCTCTCCCAGAAGAGGGAGGCCCCAGGGCCCAGTATCCAATTAGAGGCAGTGGAATTGCAAACATTTCTAGGTGTGCCAATTTCCCCGAACCAACAAAAACACAAAAGTACTAAAAGTCTTCTCAGTCTTGGAAAAAAAATGTACAATATAGGATGGGGGGGCATTTAAGGAAATGCCCCCAGTTTGCTAGGAGTTCAAATTCTTTGTGGAACCCTTTGAGTCTTTAGGATGCACATGCATTTCAATCCAACACAAAAGGGAAGCACAGCACTCTGTCCTGTGGTACCTGTCCCCTAGGCCAGAAGATCCTCACCCAGAAGACAAGACACAGGACAGGAGTGCTGGGGTGGTCAGGGAAAGGTGGGAGAGCCTGGCAATACATGAAACCTAGAATCCACCCCAGAATGACTGGGCTGGGTCCCACTTTCAGCAGCAGCGTCCAGAATAAAGCAGCTGGAATCCCTTTCAGGATGTCTTGGACTGGGGAGCTGTCCCTCTCCTTAGGTAGCGCTTAGCGCTGCTTATGGCGCCAGGTTTCGGAATTTGCTCCTCCTGACCCTCAGCTTCATGGTTCCTAGGGAATCTTCCAAAGTCTTATCCGTCTGGCGTTGTGGAGAGGTATGCTGTCTGTAACGCTCCCACCCTATGTACGAGCTTGTGGCACCTCCATAACAGGAGCTTCTAACATTCCCTTACCGAGTGGCCACGGATCCCAGGCAAGATGAGCAGGAAGCTGGCGGCCAAAGACAAGAATACCAGAATGACTATGATCAGCGGGACGCTGAAGCCTGCGGCATGCCTAGGCTGCGGGTAGAAAGGCAGCACGCCGTCCCACGCAGTCATCCTGCAAAAAGTTCCCGCACCGCACTGGAACAGGCAAGCTGGGATCAGACAGCCCCGCGGCTCGGTGAGGAGGCGCAGGGGCCACTGTCCTGGAGCGCTCTGGGGTTAGCCAGTGAGCGGAATTATTTCTCGGTGTGGCCAATTTCTTTCTTGGCTCCGGGGGTTCGCGCTGTGTTTCGAAGTTGCGTTTGAGACCCTCTTTTATAGGAGCGTGGGCACCTAGCAGAGGAGGTGCCCCGACCGAACAGCAGGGTCTGATCCCGATGAGATCACGCAAAGGAGGGGCGGGAAATATGCAAATAATGGAAGCTCCGCCCCCACAACAGGAGGGCAAGCCTCTGGTGCACATATTCACACCTGCAGCCGTTCTGGCGTGAGCTGACACCCGCGCAGCCCCGAGACAGAACCTAGAGAGAAGGGTGAAAGTGCATCTGAGAAGATAGGATTAGCAGGGCTAGAAGAGTGGAGTTTGGACGGGAAGCAGAGTGGAGAAACAAAGATTCCAAGAGGAAAGAAGACTTCTGAATCTGTCGAGAGCCCCAAACCAGAGGTTGGACCAGTGTTGGGGGCTGCCCCCTCCCAGCCCTCTCCCTTTATAGGCTCATTCGCCATAGATGAGTTGGGATGCCGGGTACTGAAGGGCTGGGATTGGCTCTCAGTTCGTTTGCCTCTTCCCTTTTCCCACCACCTCCTGGAGAAGCAGTATGTGAGAGATTGTGATGGAGGTACTTGGTTTGGGGATAGTCCTGGGAGACTAGGACAGTCCTGTTGGGGAGACTGACACCTGGTTGTGGTTGAAGTTAGTTCTCAGACGGGGTGAAGGGTAGACAACAGCCTCAGTACCTAGGAGCTGCCAATCCTCAGGGAAATAGTGTCAGGAAGATGCAGGACCTGAGTGATGCATCTGTGCCCCTCCTCCAGAGCCTACTGTGAGAGTGAGTCCTTCTCATAACCCCCTCCCACCTTCAGGCTGCACGGACAACATGCTCCCAGCAAGATCTGAGGCACTGGTGCTTCTGGTAGCCCTACTGGGTCTAGCAAGTAAGTATCCGGCACCTCTAGCTGAGAGAGCACACCCATTATCCCCTGGAAATATGGCAAAGAAGTGTAGACAAGTAGCACCTGGAAGCTGGAAGGGTTGGTCAATCTCCAAGGGGTTAGTGAGATGGGGGACTTCCTGGGACAGCCTCAACCCAACTTCGGAAGTATTGGAAAAAGAGCAAATTGGGAGGGCTTAGATAACCGGGGAAGGATGCTAAGGGGTCACATAGGGGCTTCCGGGAGGTTAATGCTGAAGGAAAGACTGCATCCACAGGCAGCCAGGATGCACCCTCATTGCCCTGGGAAGTGCAGCGCTATGACGGCTGGTTCAACAATCTGAGGCATCACAAGCGTGGTGCTGCTGGTACGTCCCGGGTCCTGGGCGGGTGGAGGGTACGCGATATGTAGCAGCCTGCAAGGAGAAGCGGTAGAGGGAGGAGTTGTCCCAAACTGCAGGATTGACTACACGCAACATTCTCATGTATTCCTGGGCCGGGATATCCATTCAGTAAAAGTGGAGTTGAGGGATGCGAAAGGCTAAATTTAGGACTTCAAGGAGATGGAGAGCTCTGACATACTCGGCTCCCTGTCTCCCTCAGGCTCGCGGCTGCAGCGCCTGGTACCTGCCAGTTACGCTGATGGCGTTTATCAGGCTCTGGAGGAGCCGCTGCTGCCCAACCCTCGCCTACTTAGCAACGCCGCGACCCAGGGCAGAGCAGGGCTGGCGTCCCTCCACAACCGCACAGTGCTGGGGGTCTTCTTTGGTGAGTGCAGAAAGAAGAAACCACCAGGGTGGACCTAAGGTTAGCTCAGTGCCAAGGGAGAGGACCCTGGGGTTCCACCGCAACTCAGCAGGAAAAGCATCCCGCCCAGGAAGCGTTTGTACCTTCACCTTGGAAGGATTTGGGTGTGGATGCAGGAATATTTGCTCCCGGGATATTTCATTTACCCCTTGCTCCAAGCCAAGGAGTGTCACTAGCTCTCCATAACAATTCTTAGAAACTGGGTCCCACGCCATTTTCCTTATGACCTTAAGGACTGCCCGGAAGAGGTGAAGAGTGACTTGAAGGAGCCCTTACCTAGTAAATTCTGTCGGTTTTGATTCTCATAATAACGTTATGAGTACCCAGGAGGGGATAGTACATTCTGTTTGTGTATGAGAAAATTGAGGCTCACTGGGCCAAGAACTGGGAGAGAGCGGTGTAGCTGGGGGTCGGTCTGGCTGGGCTTTTTGTCTCCTGAGAATTCTTGGAGGCATCCCTGGTCCTAAGGAGGGAAGGACAGGATAGTTTGCTCATCAATTTGCACCCCCTACCAGGCTACCACGTGCTCTCAGACCTGGTGAGTGTGGAAATGCCAGGCTGCCCGGCCGAGTACCTCAACATTTATATCCCGCGTGGGGACCCAGTGTTTGACCCTGACAAGCGCGGGAACGTGGTGTTGCCTGTCCAAAGGAGCCGCTGGGACCCCGAGACTGGAAAGAGCCCCAGCAACCCCCGGGACCTGGTAAGGCCAGGCAGGCAGCCAGGCGGGAGGGGATCTGCAGTTGAATCCCTGGAGCCCTGGGGTCCTCCAGCTGGGAAGGCTGGGCAGGGTGAGGCTCACTCCCACCCGAAGACACCTGTCTCGCCCTGGACACCTGTCTGTCCCTGGCCCCCCTGGCCTGCCCGGGATCTCTGACCCATCACCCGCACGTGTCCCCGCAGACCAACCAGGTGACAGGCTGGCTGGATGGCAGCGCCATCTATGGCTCCTCGCACTCCTGGAGCGACGCGCTGCGGAGCTTCTCTGGAGGACAGCTGGCATCCGGGCCGGATCCTGCCTTCCCGCGGGACTCACAGGACCCTCTGCTCATGTGGACCGCTCCTGACCCGGTCACCGGGCAGGGCGGGGCGCAGGGACTGTATGGTGAGGCCGCCGGGGCGGGCAGGGGGCAAGTGGACGCACCAGGCTGATTGGAGGGCGGGATGGGGGTCTAGAGTCTGGGCTCGCCTTGCTCTGGCCGCTCATCTCCTGCCCTGCGTCCCCCCGCGTGGATGCAGCCTTCGGGGCCCAGCGAGGGAACAGGGAGCCCTTCCTGCAGGCGCTGGGCCTGCTGTGGTTCCGCTACCACAACCTGTGTGCGAGGCGGCTGGCCCAGGAGCACCCGAGCTGGGGGGATGAGGAGCTGTTCCAGCATGCGCGCAAGAGGGTCATTGCCACCTACCAGGTGAGTCCTGCCCCCTGTTCCGTGCTCACCTATGTGTGATACTTGGCTACTCCGCAAAGCTTCCCCAATCTTGGACACTCCTCCAGATATTTTCAGAAGGGTCCTATTTCCCAGAGGGCCAAAGTCCAGAAAAACATGAAAAGCCCCAGCAAATGTTTAAACAGGCCACTTTGCTTGTGATTATAGTTCAGCTGCCTATCCCTCAAATCACAAGGATGTTATTTGAATCCTCCCACAGCTAGTCCTCACCTCTGCACCTAAGCCTTCCTTCTCTGCAGGCTCAGTCCAGCCTTTCCTTTCCCCTCTCTGACCCTCAGAATATTGCTCTGTATGAGTGGCTGCCCAGCTTCCTGCAGAAAACGCCCCCAGAGTATTCGGGTAAGGGGGAAGGAACTGGGGGGCACCTGGGCTGAAGAGCGTAGAGGAAAGAAAGGTGGATTATGTGATACCAGGGTGTGAGGTGGGGAGCCTGTTGTCTTTTTGCAGGGTACCACCCTTTCATGGACCCCAGCATCTCCCCAGAGTTCGTGGTGGCCTCTGAACAGTTCTTCTCCACCATGGTGCCCCCTGGTGTCTACATGAGGTGAGGAAAGGGTTGATAGGAGGGGCAAGGCACTGGGAGTAGGTGTTTGATTGGTGGTCTTGGGAGCCTGAGCCTTGTAATCCTCCACAGTTTCATTGGAAAAGGGAAGCAAACTTTGGGGTCTGAAACAAGACCCTGGGGTAGGAAGTTTGGGTCCCATAGGGAATCTCCCCAGCTCTCCTAATAGAATTTTGTGTCCAGTCTCTGAGGCACCTTCTTCCCTCTTGACACAGTGAGTCATAGAGCTCACTCTAGCCTCAATAAAAATGCACTTATTGATTCCTGCTAAGTTCAAGAAAGTTCATAGGTCATCCCTCAGTCTTGGCTAATCCTTTGGAATTGCTTACCTCACTCACCATCTTAACTTCTGGCCCAAATTCCCTCACTGTAGTTTTGGTTCCCCATTTCAGGAACTCCAGCTGTCATTTTCAGAAATTCCCAAACAAGGATTTTGGCAGCTCTCCAGCTCTCAGAGTCTGCAACAGCTACTGGATTCGGGAGGTCAGCCTGGGTCAGGGTCAGAGTGTGGTCACCTATCACTAATGCTTGGAAAAATAACAATTTTGGTTCTTGAGTCAATACTCAAGAACCAAAATTGCTTTGGTAGGGGATGAAAGGCAGAGAAAATTGTCTGGGGGAGAATTCCTCAAAAGAGTCTGGGAATATCTGGGTACAGTGGAATGTGCCTGCAGTCCCAGCTACTTGAGAAGCTGAGGCAGGAGGATTGCTTGAACCAGTCCTGGCAATACAGCAAGATCACATCTTTTAAAGGAAAGAGAAGGGAAATGAGGGAAAAGAGAATGAATCAATCTGGGATGACTAAAGGCCTTTTGTCATAAAGTGCTACAGTGGTCCAGGGTAAGAGGGACTGAGCTCTGGGGGAGGGGCCCTACAACTAACTATGAGTGTATTGTTCACTGCCAGAACCCAAATCTAAAGAGTGCCCAGGAGGTGGATCAGCTGCTGCTGGGAATGGCCTCCCAGATTTCAGAGCTGGAGGACAGGATAGTGATTGAAGACCTGAGAGGTTTGCCCAGAGGATGGAGGGTGGTCAGAGCCAGGAGACTGGAGATTCTCATGGGTTTGTCGACAGTCAGACCTAGGGTATCCATGACACAGAAACACACAGAAACACACACACACACACACACACACACACACACACACACATATATATGTAACATAGATTTCAAATAGCTATCAGAAAAAATGAACTTTGAGCATTTCCTCCTTAATTTATAGTTTTGGGTTGTTTTTATTTTAAATTGACTATGCCTGAATATGAGGGATATGGGAGCAGTCTCATAACCTCTTTGGTGCTTACTTAGGTCTTAGGTTTTGTTTTTGTTTTAAAGTTGGGGAGGCACAGGGAAGGGAATTTTCTGTTTGGTCTCAAGAATCATCTGAGTCTTAGAAGAGCTTGCCAGAAAAATTGCCCCTGCTCACACACACATGACAACATTGGTTCCATACCACAACAAGGTCTATATGGGCACTGGTGTCATGGAGAGCTGGGGACTAGGGCTGGGAGAGTACTAGACAGATGTAAGCCTACAAGGCAAAGAAGGGTTAAAATAACTGATCTCAATCTGGTCTTTCCTCAGATTATTGGCCTGGCCCAGACAAATTCTCCCGCACAGACTATGTGGCCAACAGCATCCAACGTGGCCGCGATCTGGGGCTGCCCAGCTATAGCCAGGCTCTGATGGCCTTGGGACTGGAGCCCCCAAAGAACTGGAGTGATCTCAACCCCACAGTAGACCCCAAGGTCAGGAATATTAATGATAATACTGGAAGCTTGGGGCTGGGGAGATGGCTCAGTTAGTAAGGTGCTTGCTGAATAGGCATGAGGATCTGAATTTTTATCCCAGCACTGTGGTAGGGGTAGGGGTGGGGCAGAAGCAGGAGGATCCCTGAACCTAAACTGGCCAGCCAGTTTAGCCAAATCAGTAATATCCAGGTTCAGTGAGAGACCCTGTCTCAAAAAATAAGGTGGAGAGCAATTGAGGAAGACACCTGATATCAACCTCTAGTCTCCAAATGTACGCATACTCACATGTATACACCCACATGCACTCACAAGTACACATGTACACATACACACACATTATAAAGGCAACTAAAGCTTTCCTGTGGCAACACTGTTCCAAATCTTTTACATATGTTCTTATTTACATAACGCTATAAGGCAGTTACTCTCAGTGTTCCAGTGTTACTGATGATACTGTTGATGAGTCCACACACACACTTGTTACTTCCATGGTGTCCCAGGTGCTGGAAGCCACAGCTGCTCTGTACAGCCAAGACCTGTCCCGGCTAGAGCTACTCCTGGGTGGACTCCTGGAAAGTCATGGGGACCCTGGACCTCTGTTCAGCACCATCGTCCTTGACCAGTTTGTGCGCCTCCGGGATGGTGACCGATACTGGTTTGAGAACACCAGGAATGGGTAAGGCTTGCCTCAGACTCCACCTTGGTCTGGGCCCCAAGGTTTGCTTGTTGCAGACAGTCCCTACAGGCTGCGATTCCCTTCCTACACTTTCTGGGCATCTTTTCTTATGTGAGTTCTGAGACCTGGGATCACTGGAGGAAGGATCCCCTTCCCATCCCAACAACTCTTACCTTTTCCCAACTAAGGTTGTTCTCCAAGGAGGAGATTGCAGAAATCAGAAAGACCACCTTGCGAGATGTGCTGATAGCTGTCTCTAATGTGGACCCCAGTACCTTGCAGCCCAATGTCTTTTTCTGGCAAGAAGGCAAGTGGCCTGAGAGAACACAAGTGATAGTGTGGGGCAGAATCATGTGATGCTGTCCAGGGAGCCAGGTGCCTTCTGTGTTGGGCTGCAAAGTCTATAGTAGGCTGGTCCCTGCAATACAGACAGGCATGCAGGCTATACCTTGCAGTCAAGCTGGGGTGGATGTTGAAAAATGGGACATGGATGGGGACTTTTGAGGGGAACTAGTAGGCCTGGGAAGAGTAAGGATACTTGGTCCTTACTAGGATAGCAACTGAGGCTTGTCCAAGGAATGGGACTCTTAGTCTTTGAGGTCTTCTGTGCTCTGTCCCTCAGGTGCACCCTGCCCACAGCCCCAGCAGCTTACAACTGAAGGCTTGCCCCACTGTGTGCCCCTTATGGTGACTGATTACTTCGAGGGCAGTGGTGCTGGCTACGGCATAGTCATTGTGGCGCTCTGTTGCTTTCCATTAGGTGAGCTCTTTACCCACCCTTCCTATCTCTTCTTCTGGCCCCCTCCACTCCACAGACTGGCCCAGCCCCTCATTACCTGCTTGGCCTTCAGGGCTAGCTCTTTTGTTTGGTTTGAGCCAGGCTCAGGGGGTCTTGGGGGAAGAAGCAGCAGCAGCTAAAACCTCAAAAAAAAAAAAAAAAGGTATTCTTTCCCTCCCACTTGTCTGTTCTGGTCCCCTTCAGCAAGTCTGGTTGTTGCTGGGATGGTGGCTCATTTCCGGAACCGAGAGCGCAAGAAGCTACTAAAGAAAGAAAAAGAGAGTATGAAGAAGGAAACAGTCAAAGAAGGAATGGCAGGTGAGATGGAGTTAAGGGAAGGGAAGACAGAAGAGAATCTGGTGCCTGAGAGAAAGAATCAAGTTACTGAGTGGAATGGGGAGAATGCCATCTAGGAGTGCCTACTTAGATGAGAGAATGATATGGGTTTAAGGGTCTCTGCCAAGTAACCATGCACAACTGTTCCTGCCCCAGCAATGGAGTGGCCAGGCCCCAAGGAAAGGAGCTATCCCATCAGCATTCAGCTGCTCCCAGACAGGTGCCTGCAGGTCCTGGACAGACATCTCACTGTGCTCCGTACCATCCAGTTGCGGCCCCCACAGCAAGTTAACCTCATTCTGTCCAGCAACCGGGGACGCTGCACCCTGCTGCTCAAGATCCCCAAGGAATATGACCTGGTACGGCTCATCCTGCCTCTGTGTGGGCTGTTTTCATACACTTATCTTCTCATAAATGAGCCATCTCAGACCACTACAGAGCTCACCTTGAAGACTGATGCTGGGGAGGGAGGGTCCTGTCAGGAGCTCCCAAACTCACTGGATTCCCTGAGGTCACTCACCTGGCTCCAGCCTGGATGAGCAGGGAAGAGCTTTTTCTCTTCTTCCCTCAACCTGAGGTTCTCTGAAGTGGAGCTGGACTGGAAGATTCAGCTTCAGGCATGATGGGGCCTTCCTCCCAGGTGCTGCTGTTTAACTCTGAAGAAGAACGGGACTCCTTTGTGCAGCAGCTGCAGGACCTCTGTGTATGCTGGACTCTGAGCTTCCACGTGTCTGAGATGAGCGAGAGTGAGCTATTTAGGAAGGCTGTGACCAAGCAGCAGCGGGCATGCATCCTGGAGATCTTCTTCAGACACCTTTTTTCTCAGGTGACATGACTTGAATCTGGCATAGGGGATGGGGCCAATCTGGACTGGATAAGTCCCCATGTGGGTGAAATAAGGTTTCACCCTGTAGGCTAGAGACAGATAGCCTTGGTTGGGTCCTGGTTGTGCCATTTCCTAGTTACACAATCTTAGGCAAGTCACATAATCTTGGCTCTGTATCCGCATTTCCTTAGCTATAGTGATTAAAACTGCGCCCATGCCATTGCATTGCTGAGAGGATCCAGTGAGCCAGTCTACATGCTGGATGTTCCTTCTGAACCAGCAGCATCAACTCACTTGGGAACTTGTTAGAAATTCTCCTCCCCAGAGAGATTGAAGGAGGAACTGGGGGTGGGGCAGAAATCTGCATTTTAACAAACCTTTCCAGAAAATGCCAATGCAATGATGCAGATGCAGGTTCAAGTTTTAAAACACTGTTTTATGTAGAGTGCTTAGCCCCAGTGCATGGTGCATTGTGGGTGTTGAACAAATGGCAGTAAAGTGTGAGTCTTAAATTCTTTGTTCATGGACAGAGATCAAATTCTAGGGACATGGCAATACTCTGCACCGGCATGAGCATATAGGCCCAGCCTTTCCCACTTGTCTATTGTGTCTATGGCCTGTATCTTCTCCCAATACAAGTTCTTTCTCTTTGCATTCTCCAACTTTTCCCTACCCCCACCCTTTTACTTTCCCCCTTTCCTCCCCAACCAGTACCACTCCTACTGTGTAATGCTTGGGTACAGAGAGAAATGGAAGATTTGGGGAGATTCAATTGACACCAACTATAGGAGAGTAGAGGTGCAGGTCAATCCATCTAAGCAGCAGGAACAGGGCTTTCTGAACTATACTTTGGGAAGACAGAAGTTACTGAACTCCTTCCATCCCAGACCTCATCTTCTTCTCTCCCTCCCTCGGTGGCTGCTCAAGTATAGGTGCTGGACATCAACCAGGCAGATGCAGGAACCCTGCCCCTGGACTCATCCCAGAAGGTGTGGGAGGCCCTGACCTGTGAACTGAGCCGGGCTGAGTTTGCTGAGTCCCTGGGCCTCAAGCCCCAGGACATGTTTGTGGAGTCTATGTTCTCTCTGGCCGACAAAGATGGCAATGGCTACCTGTCCTTCCGGGAGTTCCTGGACATCCTGGTGGTCTTCATGAAAGGTAGGGGCAGGGGCTGGCAGAACATTTGAAGAACCAGGGGTCTGTTAACACGGAAGCAGCCTGCATCCTCCTTTCTCTCCAGGTTCCCCAGAGGATAAGTCCCACCTGATGTTCACCATGTATGACCTGGATGGGAATGGTTTCCTCTCCAAGGATGAATTCTTCACCATGATGCGGTATACAGTGGGCCCTTCCAATGCTGAAATGTCTTGCTGTTCTAGACAGGAAAGTAGGTCAGGTCAGAAGAGGGAAGGCAAGGTGGTTAGGTGGCCATCCATATTGAATGGTGCATACTCAGCATCCTGGACTTCAGGACATCCAGCTTCAAAAGGCTACCTATGTAAGCCCCTGCCTCTAATAGGGTCTGTATCTGCACTATCAAAAGCATCCAGAAAATTACATTCATTTTAAAATGACAAAAAAAGGCCAGCTGCAAGCATCATCAGCTTTTCATTCCTGAAGACAGTACCTCAGCAACAAGCCCCCTTCAGCACCACAAGGACATATCTCTCCTCATTCCTTCTTGAATCTGTATCTTCCATGTTGAGATCGGCACACAAGCATCTGATACATAGTTCACTGAATAAGATAAAGCAAAACAAGTGAGCAAATGAGTAAACATACTGAGAAGAGCAAACCAGATTCTTTAATGTGCCTATCCTTTTATAATGTCCCATTGCTTTAAACATTCCCTTTACCTGCTGCATCCCTCTTATCATCCATATGCCCTAACTGGGCATAGATGTCTAGAGGGACAAAGCTAACTGCAGCACGTGCCTCACTGACACATCACAGGCTCTAGGAAATCTGGGAGGAGGTCCCCATTACCAATGACTGAGCTCCTACTTTCTCATCCTGTAATAAAATGTCGGGGGGAGGGTCTTGCTTTGCTTCTGCAGTATGAGGCTTTTTAATATGATGGTAGTGCTTCTTTTGCTTTGTAGACCCAGGCCTTCTTCTACTGGACTTGTACACACTTGCTTTTGTCCTAAAGTACAATCTAAGAAGAGCTGCCACTGCAGCTGTCACTGTGTATGCCATCAGATTGGATGGCGGTATAGTGCCCCGAGAGTACTGGCACAAGGAGACAGCTGCTATTGCAGCTATATACCTTCCCACACTCTGGTATCTTTAGTGAAGGTGGGATCCCAAGGGTGGTAATGGGGAGCTTCCACAGCAGAGAGTAGTCAGAGAGCCCATCACAAGAGAGGGCCATGTCAGACCCTGGGCCTGTCTCTGCACCAAGTTATTCATTCCCACGTGTAGTTGTATTCATTCCTTGTTCTGAGGGCTGCTTTCCCTAACTGGTCAAGGTCAGTTTTGAGTCTGTCTTTGGAGCCTGTGGCCACCACCCCACCCATCTTAGTATTACCTTGAGGCTGTATGAACACCTTCTCAGTGCCATTTCCCAGCATTGGTAACCACATTAGGCAATCTGGAGCTTACCCCACCCTATACCTGCCCAAGCCTGACCTTTCCAGATGATAGCTGCCCTATCTCTGCCCTCTCCTGATCCTAGGTCCTTTATTGAGATCTCCAACAACTGCCTGTCCAAGGCCCAGCTGACTGAGGTGGTGGAGTCTATGTTCCGGGAGTCAGGCTTCCAGGACAAGGAGGAGCTGACGTGGGAAGACTTCCATTTCATGCTGCGGGACCACAACAGCGATCTCCAGTTCACAAAGCTGTGTGTCAAAGGTGGATCTGGAGGTATGTGAATATGTAAAAAACACTTAGAATCGAGAGAGAGAGAGAGAGAGAGAGAGAGAGAGAGAGAGAGAGAGAATCTTCAAAAATCTTCAAAATTGAGTTCCTGGGGGGCTGGAGAGATGGCTCAGTGGTTAAGAACACTGTTCTTGCAGAAGACCCAGATTCTAATCCCAGAACCCACATGGCAGCTAACAACTGTCTGTAACTCCAGTTCCAGGGGATCCAACAGCCTCTCTGTCCTCCGTGGGCATTGCATGACACAAGCACACTTACCTACATGCAGGCATAACACTCATACACATAAAATAAAAAAATAATAAATAAAATATTTAAAAAATCGAGTTCCTGATGGATGTGACTTAATCCTTTGTGCCTAGTACTGAATTAAGTACCAGTATTCAGGGGCAAGTTGTATATTGCATAAAGTTGCTTACTGAGGCCAACAGCAAGCTGAAATTTACTCTACACACTGCCCAAAGCCATGGGCTTTGGTCTGGGGTGTATCTGGCAAGAGGAGGGGGCCCTGTTTTCTTTGCATAAAAGACACACAGAGGGTGTCCAGAGGGTGGCCCCTTTCTCACTGTGTACAGTGGCCCCTGTGTACAGTGGGCACTCAGTGTGGGCAGGGAGAAAAATTGGACTGAAGCCAGAGATCTGGCTGTGACTAGGTCATCAACAAGTGGCCAGGCAGCCTTTCCAGGCCTGGAAGAAGACACTCTGCCCTTCTGAGAAAGCCAAGCCAGCCTCTTGTTCTTCCTTTCAGGTGTTGGGGACATCTTTAAGCAAAGCAGTGGCTGTAGAGTGTCATTCATCACTCGGACTCCTGGGAACCGGTGTGTAGTGATTGGGTGGTATCCTTGGCTCGGTTCCCTGCAGAGAAAAAGCAAAGCTAGTTGATCAGTTCTCGAGGTCAGATATTTGCCCTCTGAGAGTAGCTCTTATCACAAGGTCATTTTCAGCCCAAATTCAGCCTCCCACAGCTCATGCTGCTCAGGAGCTTTCTCTCTCTCTGTCTCTCTCTCTCTCTGTCTCTGTCTCTCTCTGTCTCTGTCTCTCTCTGTCTCTCTCTCTCTCTCTCTCTCTCTCTCTCTCTCTCTCTCTCGCATTGTAGGCCAGAGTCATTCTAAAAGACAGATGAACAGATTGGAGTTTCTCATTCCACCTGGCCCTAGAATCCTTCCCTTGCCTCAACCCTGAATTTTGATTTAGCAATTCTTCTGGCTACAAAGATCAGGGGTAAACAGACTGCATTTTCTTTCTCTCAGCTGCTGCCCTCAGGAACTGGCACTCCCCAGTTTGGAAGCCCCAGAGCTGGGAGGTTCTGGCCTAAAGAAGAGGTTTGGCAAAAAGTGAGTGTTTCCTAGATCTGAGAGTCCAAAGAGGCTTGGAGAGAAGACAGGGTCCCTGGGCATTGATACACCATCCCAAGTCTCCTTCCATTTGTCCCTGGCCCACTGTGGGGCTATAGTTTCAAATGGTTTCTTCCTGTCTCAGCCTCTACACTCTTCAGGTGAGAGGCCTGGCTCAAAGCACCACCACCATGGTAGTAAGAGGTCTCTTAGCCCCTGCCACCTTGGGTACAGGAGTAGGCCAGTGTAGCAAGGGAGGAGGGAAGGATAGAACAGAAAGAAGAAAGAGGAGGAAGAGTGTGGGGAGATAGAAGAGGGGGAGGCTGGAACAGGTAAGGAAGGGGTAAAGGGGGAGTGGAAGGCTGGCCGTTTTCTATCCTCTGTTATGGCTCATCTGACTCCTGCAAGGTCACCAGTTCTCTGTTCATGGGTGGCACTGGGGAAGACCAAGGAGTCACTTCCTCACAGGTGCCCTGTCTCCCATTGCTTCAGGGCAGTGGGGCCCCCTCCCCGGTTGTACACAGAAGCTCTACAGGAGAAGATGCAGCGCGGCTTCTTGGCCCAGAAGCTACAGCAGTTCAAGCGCTTCGTGGAGAACTACCGGCGCCACATCGTGTGTGTCACAATCTTCTCAGCCATCTGTGTGGGCCTGTTTGCAGACCGTGCCTATTGTAAGAGCTCCAGCCTGTGAGCAGTGGGCAGGGAGTATGCTGTACCTCAGGGAGGAGCAAAAAGCCCTCTGGTTGTCCTTCCCAGTTCCTGGTGTCTGAATGGCAGAGCCCAGGCATTCTGACTCAAGCTCAGGATCCTGCCTCTTGTGCCATGCTGATCTGCCTCAACTTTGGCCCCAGACTATGGCTTTGCCTCACCACCTACGGACATTGAAGAGACGACCTATGTGGGCATCATCCTGTCACGGGGAACAGCAGCCAGCATCTCCTTCATGTTCTCCTATATCCTGCTCACCATGTGCCGCAACCTCATCACCTTCCTGAGGGAGACCTTCCTCAACCGCTACATTCCCTTCGATGCAGCAGTAGACTTCCATCGCTGGATTGCTATGGCTGCAGTTCTCCTGGCTAGTATGTGGCTCCTGGCTTTTTTCCATCTTCAGTCCCCTGGGTCTTGCTATGGGGGAAGTGATGAGGAGGCTGGAACTCCTTATGACTCTGAGTGCCTCCTCTTTCCCTCCAGACTAGAGGTAGAGTTGGCCCTGTTGGCATCTCTGACATGTTGTCTCTTTCAGTTCTCCACAGTGCTGGCCATGTGGTCAATTTCTACATCTTCTCAGTCAGTCCCCTCAGCCTGATGGCCTGTGTCTTCCCCAACGTCTTTGTGAATGATGGGTCAGTTCAGGGGAGAGTGCTCCCGATCCCTTGGGTGGGCCTAAGGGCATAGTAGTAAATAAATAGATGGGTATAGAAGCACAGTTAAAGCTATCCCTCTTAGGGGAAGCTGAAAGGTGACCTCTTTCCCCTCAGGAAGGAAACTGGCTGTGGTTGGTCAGGAAAGGTGCTTGGGAGATGAAATAAGAAACTCTTTCCCATGTGTATCCGGCACACAGTTTACTATCTCAACTTGCTATCTACTCACTGGGCAAATATTTACAGACTATGTCCAGGTGTTCCATTCAGGTGCCAGAGAGCAGGGTGTCCAGATAGAAGCAGTTCTTTAACAGATACCATTTGCTATGCACCCAGTATTGCTAGGGATAGAGGGACAAGTCCCTGCTCTCAAGGATCCCTGCTCTCATTATTTTGTGAAACATTTAATGACCCAAGTAATCCAAGAAGCGTCAACTGCAGGAAGAGAATTTAAGATAGAACAGGAGGAAAGACTGCTGAGGGTGCAGAGGGTAGAATCATGGGGTGCTGGACACCATGTTCCTGGGAAGGATCCCTTGGCTGACTTGGTAGAGACCTAGTCATGTAGGCAGTCAGGGGCAGAGTTGGGCTGCAGTGTATGGTGGTGGAGCCCCATCTGCCCTAGCCAGAAGCTCACTGTGCCTTTACCCCACAGGTCTAAGCTTCCCCAGAAATACTACTGGTGGTTCTTTGAGACAATTCCAGGTAGGAAGTAAAGCTGTATGTGGGATATGAGGGTTCTATCTGAAGACCTCTTCTTTGGTCTCCCTTCTCTGAATATACACAGTGATCTATGATAGTCATAACTTCCTTTTCTAGCCTGCTGGATGAGGCCCAGCTCCAGCCTCTCCATATAAGCTATTCTGGGGCCCTGAAGGGATGAAGGTAGAAGTTGGGTAGAATGGGGATGTCTCTTATATTTTCAGCCCAGAATGAGATGCTGAGGCTACCCACTGACCCTATCTTCCTACCCTCAGGTATGACAGGAGTTCTCCTGCTCCTGGTCCTGGCCATCATGTACGTCTTCGCCTCCCATCACTTCCGCCGTCACAGCTTCCGGGGCTTCTGGCTGACCCACCACCTCTATGTTGTGCTTTATGCCCTGGTGAGGGCCTTCTTGGGCTGGGTTGGACCTTGAAGGAGGATACTTGGGATAGGGGTGGGGAGAGGAAAGGATGGAGAATGGAGAATTAGACCCAAGATCTCAGACTGAGATCCTGAGATCTGAGACCACACTGCAGTATAGACCAGCTCCACCTAGCAAGACCAGGCCCGGCGCCTGAGCCGAACATGCCTGACAAAAGGGAACAAGGTAGTGCCCGATTGGGCCATACTATACTAACTGGCCATGTCTTTAGCTCATCATCCACGGCAGCTTTGCCCTCATCCAACTTCCCAGTTTCCACATCTACTTCCTGGTCCCAGCAATTATCTATGGAGGGGACAAACTGGTGAGCTTGAGCCGGAAGAAGGTGGAGATCAGTGTGGTGAAGGCTGAGCTGCTGCCTTCAGGTAAGGCCTGGTCTGACATGTAGGAGCACCAGTGGGCTCCTCAGACATGATGGAAGCTTGCCATGGTTCTTGACCCCATTCTCTGACACCCTCTTGGAGGATTCCTGAAAACTTCCTGGTAGAAATAGCACCCTAAGAAGGACTGTGCTTAGTTCCCAGGAGACTGGCAGATAGGCTGGAGAAATGGTTAAGAGCATATACATACTGCTCTTGCAGTGATTAAGAGCATATACATACTACTCTTAAGTGGTTAAGAGCATATACATACTACTCTTGCAGAGGACCAGAGTTCAGTTCCCAGCACTGTGTTGGGCAGCTCACAACCACCTGTAACTCCAGTTCCAGGACTGATGCCTTCTTCTATCTGCCTTGGGCATCATCTCTCACACATTCACAAACTCACACACAAACACATAATTAAAAATAAAAGAAACCAGGCCAGGTGTGGTGGCACATGCCTTTAATTCCAGCACTCCAGAGGCAGAGGCAGGCAGATCTCTGTGAGTTCAAGGCCAACCTGGTCTACATAGTGACTCTGGGACAGCTGGGGCTACAGAGAGACCAAAAATTATTTAGTTTTATTATTTTAAAATTTTAAGTGTATGAGTGTTTTGCCTGCATGTATGTAAGTGTACTGCATCCATGCAATGCCCAAGGAGGCCAGAAGAGGGTGTCAGAACCTCTGGAACTGGAGTTATGGATGGTTGTTAGCTGCTGTGTGGGTGCTGGGAACTGAACCCAGGTACTCTACAAGAGCAGCCAGTGCTCTTAAACACTGAACTATCTCTCCACTTCCCTCCCAAAATAAAATAAATATTTTTAAAAATTTTATTTATTATAGGACAGGTTTGGTGGCACACACCTTTAATCCCAGCACTCAGGGGATACAGAGGCAGGCAGATCTCTCTGAGATCAAGGCCAACCTAGTCTACATGGTGAGTTCCAGGCCAGCTACAGAGAGACCCTGTCTTAACCAGCCCCCCCAAAAAATTGATAGAAGAGCACATTTTAAGTCTCACCCC